GTAGTGTGTGCCTGTGTCCGAGGTCAGTAAGAAGATTTCCGAGGGCCAGGAAATTAAGGAGATACATACGGCACCCAAGATTGGTAACGTCTTGCTTCGCTTGCTCACTGTGGTCCATATCCCAGCAATTCTAGTCAATTCTGGGTCGAATAATAGGCTTTCCGCCTTCAGACTCCCACTCACAATACGACCAAATCTTCTGTTTTCCGCTAAGGTTGCCCAAAAAGAACCTCCTGGGTTCTTGTAAGACCGCGTCACCTTGCAAAGACGAGAACCGTTTGAATTCCGGAGTCAACGTATTCAAAACCCCCGTATCATAGGGTGAACCTTGCGTTGGATTTTCTGGGTATGCCTCTAACAGATTATTCAACTCGTCATCCGATAGTCCCGGTTGCCAGTATGACCGGAATTCGGCATCAGTCCTGGTCAAAAACCAGTGAGAAAGAGGGAAACAAGATGCGAGGCTATAAAACGTACGTCACGTTAACAGTCGCCAGGGAGAACAAAGTTCCTTCGTCGTCGCAGTTACCTATGTCAATCAGTGAGAAAAGATTGTTTTTTTTTCTTTACACGCTAAACCAAATTCTCAGTACTCACCACTCACGATAGGAATCTTGGCAACTTTTCCTTGTTGAACCAGCTTCTGCGGATTATCCGCAAGGAAAACACCGTCCGGGCGAGGTTGCCACGCCGAATTCGACTACGTATTGAAAGGATTGAGGGAGCTTGTTCAACCAACCCGTCGGACGATCACTTACATGAAAATCAAAAATGGTAGGAGTCTTGTCAATGGCAGCTTTGAGGTTCGCAAAGGGAACCGTCCTCAAGCACGCAAGCGTGTCTGAAGCCCCGGAGCAGCCTGTCCCCTGAACAATTGCGTCGTAGACTGTGAAGAAAAATTTAGTTTTGAGCTGTTGAGTCTCCGCGACATCAAAGCACCGAAAAGAGAATACAATCAAAGGAAGAGAGCAAAACATACAGGTTGCCCAGTCGTAACATCCCCAACAGAAAGAGGTGCACCGGATTGCATGAACCCAGCACGGAAGAGGCCTTTGGGATCCCCTCCTTCAACGAGCATGTGAAGTGAGACGGAGATGGCTCCTGCGGATTCACCCCAACTTTCCGTGAGGGTTGTGGTTAGTTAATGAAGATATGAATAATTTGAATGAAACTCGGACTCACATAGTAACCTTCGAAGGATCACCACCGAAAGCGCTGATGTACTTTTGAATCCATCTGAGCGCTTCGCGCTCTACGAACGAGAGAGGCGAGTGCTCAAAATTTAGCTAAAATGGCGAAACGAACAGCCGGAAGGTCGGAATGTGGACTTACGATCTTGAAGACCTAAATTCCCAACTCCGGCTTTCTTTACTTCCTTACTAGCTAAGAAGCCAAAACCTAGACGGGATGTCCGGTTCAGAATCGGTAGGACGGAATTTGAAACTCGGATGCTGCACGAACCGCTCAGTCGGTAATTCATCGACACGTAAATGACCGGTTGCCCAAGGATGATCGAGCGTTCGACTATGACTGTGCCGTCATACCTAGTTGCGTGATTTCATGTCGACAAGGAGGGTTCATGTTGATCGGAAAGTGATACTAACATTTGAGTAGATCCCAATTCGAATCCACCTATTAGAGACCTGGATGAAACACGAACACATAAAGCATAGTAACCAAATCACTGACCACCATATATCCACTGACCCGATGCCACGCAAGTCAATAATAACGCGAGATTGAATGTAAAAATAAGTCATACCGCAACGACCGGAAGCTTCGAACTAGGAGTTGCTGTTGCAGGTTTGATAACATTAATCGTCAGACCTGGAAGCAGGAGTAGAAAGTGGTGAAAACAGTGAGTCAGTAAGTATCGTTTTTCAAGCTTCAAATAACACCACCCCTCTCCACTTTCCCCTCTTCCCCACACCCTCCCACTCATCGAGCCCGGACGTTACTTACAGTCTTCATCATCGGGAAACACAGCTCCATAAATCGAGTTCACAACAAAGTTCGCCGCCTCGGCAGGAAGTCCAGTGAGAACGGGAAGTTTGATCGCTTGTTGAGGACATGCTGGTCCCATGGAGACTGCATTGAAGGAAGTTCCATACGGTGCAATCGGTTCTGGGAGACGGAAGCGTCTGTCTCCAGTCCTAGTAACAATAACGGACTTCAGTATGAAACGGAACTGGCACTTGATTTTCTTCGGAACAAGGGAATCAAATTAAGTGATACTCACGGAGGTTCAGCAAAAGGTATCCCAAAAAATGTTGACACTCCTCCAAATGACGTTCCAGTGACTGTGGCGGAGTCGAGCTTTACCGTTGGTCCTGCAAGAGAAACCGCCACGGTGGACGCCCAGTGGGAAGCGGTGAGTACACTGACAGTCCAAAACGAGGACCGGAGAAGCATAGATGGCGAAATTCGAATTTGACAACGGTCAAAAAGGTTGATAAAGGGATGCTTCTCAGGATCCAGATGTTCTAATTTATAACATTATTGAAACACTGGTAGAAGCTGTGCACGGAAGGAAGAAGGCAGAGGGAAAATTTGTTGTTCGTAGCATGCGGTATGACATGATTGGCATACTTAATTTCGGTCATGGGTGCTCTCTGCTACGACTGATCATCAAGTATAAAAAAAGCCAAATAGAGAGTTTTGAAAGAGGAAGTAGAGCCTGAGTCTGCCATTCAAAGTTTCCCTATATCGACCATGCTATGGACAAAAGGGCCAATGAAGGCACGGTGATTCAGATAGTTAGAGCAAGACGGCCACCTCTATTCACGCCCCAAGACATGACTAAAAGCGTACATATACATGCACGACCGTCAAAGATCTGTCAAGGCGTGATGACAAGTTCTACAACTTGAGCACAAGAACCTGAAGTAAGTTTGTCTTTTTTTCCCAGCGAATCCCCGTCAAATCTTCACGGTAGGACACCATCAAGAGTCGATAGAAGACGTGTGCCTAGCGTTGACATGGAAGGTTCTTCGTAGAGGGAAAGGGAAAGGGAAGCCCGGTCAACCCCAGCTTCCGTGGTCGGTTTTGTCCTCTGTTTCGTAGTGCCAGTACCGCAACACAGGCCGCCTCCCACGTATACCCAAGAGAATCGACACAGCCGACTTTGAGAGAGCATCCAGGTCGCAAAAAAGAAGTCCAGGGTAGGGCTGGATAGTAGACAAATCGCACCTCAAGACGTACTTGTGGGCCCTCGAGCAAAGATCTGCTCGCCTTTCGGAGATTGCTTGCGACTCGGAGTGGCTTGAATGCTCATCTCACTGGACATTCTGAAGTTCGAAATTTTTGGGGGGGGCCCCTTCCCCTCTACGGTGGACATATCTAGACAAAAGGTGGAAATTTCGCGAAAAAAAACGAAAGGTCAAGATGGTGATTGATCGTTATGTAAGAAGATAGGCGAATGATAAGATTATTCTAAACTCAGATAATCTCCGACAATCTGACCATGGCCAAGCGCTTCCACCACCAAGCTTCGTCAGGCTTCGTCCTTACTCTTCATCCATAATTCGATACTAGGTGTCATATCTCCTTGCGTTTTTCTATACTCGAGTCAATGTGCTGGAAGGTATCGAGAAACGAGACATCGAGGGCCTCGTCGTGCTACAGCATTCATCTAGTACCCTTCGCCAGCTGAAGTCTTCTCGAACCGCTGCGTACGCAGACCATCTACCATCTATGTGAGCCCCTTCTAGAAAAACCCTACACTTGACACAGTTTGAGCTACGAGAGGCATCCCCGAGATCTGTTTTCTATCGTAATTTTCCGAGCTCGGAGAATCATAGCGGGAATAAGATTCTCCTCCCGGACCTTGAATGCCTTTCTCTCACCCACATTCAACATACTCCAACCACTGTAGATAAATCTTCCTCTAGCGGCATCGAGAAGCCTAAACAATCTCCAGGCTAATGCGGATGACCGTCGTGAAGAGTTATGCATTTTTACATAATATTATCCCGCAGGACACAACACATTTCGCCTTGGGTATCGGAGACAATAGAGCGTTTAGACGAGGGGGTGAAGGCGATAATGGAGGAACAGAAGCGGAAGTAGGGTTAAACTGTAAGTTCGCGATAAATTTGGCGATATCGATGTTACGCTCAAGTATTGAAGGTCACCGTCATGATGGACTCAGCTCTTCCCTCGTACTTGACTTGTTTGTTCAAATAATTCACATCTTGTAGTATGAACTTTACTGGAAAGGATTTCGATGTTTTGACTTGCAATATTGCGCAGACTGAGAATGAAATTTTGGTACACAGACCCTGAACTTGAAGTACCTACATATTGAGCATGGATTGTGTCCTCATGTCCGTTTTAACTCTCTTGATCCGTTCCTTCTTTTAGTGGATTAGACCTCTATATCCGTGAAGTCATGAGGTGATACTGCTGGTGTGCTCCCCCAGCCTCAGTACGGGAGCGTCCGAGTCTTGAACGCGATAAGATAGACTCCTTGTTCTTCACTCTGAAGGAGAGTGTATAGGTAGACAAAAGATGAAAGATGATCAGGGATGTTTGGTGCAAGAGAATCTCGGTTTTTTTTTGCCAGAATTTTGCCGGAGGCTGGGCCTAGGCACGTTGTGGGTCACGTGAAATGCACGTGATAGAACGTGATCGGGGAAGAAAAAACCCTAAAGTGTGCTAGGGCCAAACCTGAGCGCTCGGGAGCCGAAAAGGCCAAAAAATCTGGACGCCACCTGTGGTACCCAGCGCTAAAGAAAAAGGTGTATGTTGGGGATGGAGGGCGGGCGAGAAAAAAATGGCGGAGAAGGCGGTTGAGATGAGCGCGGAGAAAAGAGATGTCGACGCTGTCGCGGTGGCTAGACTGAATACTGTGTGTGTCACAGAGTACTCATCTCACCGTCGCTATCTTATCCTCTGATAAGATACTCATTCCTCACAGCTTATCTCAGATTCAGGAAAATGATAGCTAGAACATTGAGATAGTCTACTCTCACAAGTATACCTTCCAGAGTTCCGTCGATGGTTCGATGGCGTAGTTGGTTATCGCATCTGTCTAACATGAATGTGAACTGTCACCATGCACAGAAGGTCCCCAGTTCGAGCCTGGGTCGAATCATGCATGTTTTTTTTTGTTCTACTTGATTTTTTTCTGAAGCTACTTACTACACGGGACTACAGCCCAGTGCCGTTGGGAGCGGAGCGGTTTTTTTTTGTAGAAACTACAAGGTAAATACCAACCTTTCTGATTCTTTGACTCCCTTGGTTAACATTCATTCGTAACTGCTGAACAACCTCCGACGGCCTGCACAACCCCGAGGGTCAGAAGAGATTTAGAGAACTAGGCAGGAATCCGCACGACAAGAGTCGGTAACAACAACAAAAGAAATATAGGTGAGCAGATAAAATACGCTTCAAACCTTAAAAGCCTGTTTCGAGAAACCGCCAAGAACTACCGAACTTTATACATCTGGATCACAACTTCTTCCCCCTCTACAATATCATCCGTAGAATCCGAGGGAGCCCTGACAGAATACCGAATCTCGATATCCAACTCTCGAGAGTTTTCGTCTGACTTTCGACAGCAAAATTGACCAACTACAGTGGTGCCTACCCAAAAAGAAAAACGATCAATTCACTGTTTCATCGTGAAGGAACAAACGAGAAGCCACACAGACCTTCCTCAACCGAAAAAGGCTCTCTAACCAAAAACACAGTCTGCTTCCAATGCGTAGGCACAGACTTGGGTCCCGTACTAAAACTGATGACGTCCAATTGATACGAACTCTTTCTTCTCTGGATTGGAGGTCTCCCCGCCTCGCTCTTCCGTCTCTCAACTCTCCTTTCCTCAACCTCACACTGACTAGCCCTCCTCTCACCCGCTCTCTTACCACCTACAGGCCAAACCTCTGCGACCTGTGCCTCTCCTACACGGACCACTTCTACCTCTACCCCAGGCGGAACGCGTTCACCGGAAGAAGCGAAGAAGGTATCAAAGTATAGAACGAAAGCGGACACGCGAGATCTCCTGTCGGCTGTTGAAACGAGGCGGAAGGAAGAGGTGAAGGAGAGGGATGCGGGAGTTGTCGTCGGGATGTAGATGTCCTGTGGAGGGAAGAAAGTAAGATACCACTGCAGAGGTTTTAGGGCCATGAAATACGCGCCAACCACGAAGTGGCGTATCGCGGAACCGCGACACTTTTCTGTCATGACGAAAGTCGACCGCGGCCATTGCGTTGCGAGAAGGGCAACAAAAAAAATGACCATCGCCGTATCGATGAACGGGACATCGTTCCGTCGGAACCCCGTTCTCAAAAAGGGAGAAAATTTGAAAAAAGGCATAGGAAGCAGGCCTTGGCCCCCGAAACGACTGGGGTCCCGGTGCGGGCGTAAAAAAAGAGAACGGGAAGAACGAACCTTTACGACAAAGGGCTCAGAAAGCATCGTATCAGGGCCTAACACGTCGACGATTCCTTCGCCGTAGAGGTCTCGAGACATGATTGATAGATCGAAGCCTGCCAAAATGTGACATTAGTTTCGGACAAACCCCAAAATGAAAAGCGCACCATAAACATCCCCCCAAAAGGTAACTCTATCCTTCAAAATCTCACCCGCATCACAGATGGCCAACATCATCTTACACTGACTGGGTGCAAGGACCCCTCCAGGCTTTAAAAATCGATCTCTGGCGACCAAAACGGAATCCAACATGGATTCGTACAATAAAGCGTAGCCCATCCATTCGGAGATGATGACGTCTACTTTCCCTGAAGAGTGTTGTAAGAGTTCGGTCAAGTCGATATCTTCTACTTTTCCATGAACGACGGTGATGACAGCCTGAAGGTCGTTAGCTTCTACGATCTTTTCGGCTTTGATAGCGATATCAGAAGCGTCTACGGCGATGACTTTTTTGGCACCGGCACGAGCGGCGAAGAGAGATAAGATGCCAGTACCGCAGCCTACGTCTAGGACGGTGGCGTTTTCGAAGATGTGTGGTGATTGGAGGATGTAGCGGGCGTAAGTGGAGGTACGGATTTTGTCTTGGATCATTACTGCGTGGATGTCGTGTGCATCATAACTTTGAAAGTAATGGGAGTCGTCGTCTCTTTTGGGTTGACCAACGACGGTAGTATCGGCTGGAGAGTCGAGAAGATTGAGACGTTGGTTGATTAAAGAACGGTAGGCTTGGAATTCTGAGCGTGTTTGTGAGAGATCTGACTGTAGAGATTTGATTCGTTTGTGTGGATTGTCGTCGTCTTCAGAGTCTGACCAGTCGTCTGATTGAAGTTCTGAATTTCAAGAGGGTAAGAGAGAGATGAAGGAAAAGAAAGGATCGACTGACGAAGTAAAGGATCGTCTTCGATAACTGGTTTTAGATAATCATCTGAATTGAAAAAGTCTTCTTTTCCAGTGATTTGAAGGACATCTTGAACTGATGGTTTCGTTTTTCTTATGAAATTTACCAATCGAATACGCCCATGAACGTCCAACGCTAATTAAAAATCAGAAATAAACACGATAAAAACCAGTTTTAGCACTCACACAACGTTTTACAAAACTGATTCAAATCAAAACCAAACTTTTCCCTATCAAACTCGATAGCCTTTTCTGCATTTTCCAAGGATTTTTCCGGTTCAAAAAGAGATTTGCAGCTTTGATTTGAATCTGAGATCCAATCTTCCCATGTTTCTTCATCTTTTTCTTCGTCTTCATCTGAGCTGCAACTTTCGGTGTCTTCGAATAAAGGTTCGGTTGTAGCCCGTAAACGAATGCTCATCTCGATCGATGAAAAGAAAAAGAAAGAGTTACATTTCGGAAATCGGTCACAATATTGTTGTCGAGAAAAGGTAATATTCCACCACGGTCACCTGAGTTCCTTATCGAAATCCGGTACGTCCATGGTTCTTTCCAATGTCTTTAGTAGAAGCAGCAAGTGAAGCAGACTATGCTTTCAAGAATATTCCAATCATGTACGCTCTTTATCCTCATATAGACACCTAATCTTTATCTTCATTTTCTAGAGATATAAGCAACATCACCAGTCCAGATCCAGCGGCTCGAAGAGCTTTAGCAGATCAAGTCAGAAATGCGTGTATCAATGTTGGCTTTTTCTATGGTTCGTAACCTGTACTTCTGAGCAAAGTGTTGACTCCGTACACGTAAATCAAGTCAAAAACCACACCGTCCCAACCTCAACTATCGACACCCTCCTCTCCCATTCGAAAACCTTTTTTGATCTACCCCTCGAATCCAAGATGAAGGTCAGCCCCAGTATCCTCACATACTTCCTACCAATCCTTCCCTCCTCCCCAGATTGAGAACAAAAAATCCCTAAGCTACAAAGGCTACTCCCCCCTCCTGAGCGGAAACAACGATCCAAACAGTAAAGGCGATCTCCAAGAGGGGTTCGAAATCGGTTGGGAGCCTTTGACTTCCTCCACCTCTGACAAAGAAAACCAACAAACCAGAGAGGATGTAGAAGAAACTGGCATAAAATCAATGGCAGGAGGAAACGTATGGCCATCAGACCCGGGAATGAACGAGTTTAAAACCGCTACTCTAGAATACTAGTTGAGTTTTGTTCCTCCTCTTTTTTTCATGAAATCGACTTGTCGTTTTACAGTCACGCAGCAGTCAACCTAGGGAAACTCTTGTTCCCCATATTTGCTTTGGCTTTAAACATTGAAGAAACGTTTTTTGAGGACAAGGTGCCCCCCAACCTCCCTCCCGCGTTATGTACGTTTCTTACACATTCTCCTTTACATAGACAAAAACCTCAGCAGCAATGATGCGTATAATCCACTACCCTGAGCAATCCGGACGAATAAAAGAGTCTGAGGAAAACGGGGTTATTGGTATTGGTGCTCATACTGAGTGGGTTTTCTATTTCGTTCTATTGACGCGCCACTCACTCCCACTGTCATAGCTGGGAGGTAAGTAATCTAAAACCCCACCTCTGTTTTGCCTGATCCGTCTTCCCCGCAGTGTTTCACAATCCTCTATCAACAACCAGGAATCCAAGCACTTCAAGTTAGAAATGCGGATGGGGAATGGATAGATGCGCCTCCTGTTGATGGTCAGTGTTCTATCGGAAGTCGGTTCAGAAGGATACTGATAATGTTTATCTTTCAAGGTACATTTGTCGTCAAGTGAGCTCCAGTCTCGACGCAAGGGGAAACCCGTTTACTGACTAATGGTTTCTTTCAGTCTAGGAGATCAATTTGCTAGATGGACAAGTACGCACATGTGTTCTTTCATCTTACTACCATACTCACTAACCCCGCCCACAGACGACATATTCAAATCAACCATCCACCGAGTAATCAACAAATCCGGACACCAGAGGTTCTCAATTCCGCTGTTCTTTGGTACGGACTATGGAGTTTTGTTGGAGGTGTGCTTTTTTTGCTCTCGGCCTTTCGATTCATTTACGCTTACCTCCCACTCGTTTCACCCATCCGCAGCCGATACCAAGTTGTGTATCTCCTCATCAACCTTGGAAATATTCCCCTGTTACAGCTGGAGAGTATGTGAAGAAGCGGTTGGAAGATACATATGGGCATTAAGTAGAAGCTTAGTAGGTGCGGTAACTCTTTTTCTCCCAGATCTAGAAGCTTGCCCTTTTGGACTTATCCCCACGTTACGTGACTCGAAACGGAATACATCAATTGCCAGGAGTACACAGAAACAAGAAAGCGTGGGGTTTACATTTAAATTTCTGACCGGTGCACGCTAGGGTAAAAGCTACACAGGTCAACTTCCTGGATCCAAAAAGAAAGAAGAATAAGGTTATAGGTGAGTTGCACTCTAAGCGGTAGAACCAACCGGGGATAAAGGCTACTTCGACACTTCGAAAGCAAGGAAAGAGGGGGGGGGGTCCGGGTCCACGATAGCTCTGAAAGAAGGATACAACGAATACGATCATGATGTAGAGGGGAACAACTGAATGGCCCGAGCCGGAGGACGTTAAGTCGTGCGGCGAGCCCTCGAGATCTGGAGTACGGCGGGCCCATGAGCTTCCCCTTTTCAAGGACAACTGACAAGACTAACCATCGAGTAGCCGCTCAGCCAAGAGACGGTCTCGTAGGCGTAGGAGTGGCCCATCCATTATCTTTGGAC